GTTTAGGTTTGCTTCATTTTCCTTTTACATTTACTGTATCGTTTCTGATTTTCTGTATTGAGTTAGGTTTTGTTAGTTTAGGTTTGCTTCATTTTTTTTTACATTTACTGTATCATTTTTGATTTTCCGTCTTGACCTTTTACTGAGTTATTCCAAAGTATTTAAAATGCTTCTGACAATGGATGTCAAAATTACATTGAAAGTGAGGTCAATGACAAGATGTGGTCATGGGCATGAGCCCACTATAATTTTGCTATAATGTCACAATGAAAAACAAAATTCTTTGGTAAATAACATGCTTTGCTAAGCGGTCCAATCCAATTTGATCCCATCTATTCCAGCCACCACTATATTTTCCCGGTTTCGTGCTATGTTGACAAAATCCCTAACAAAGATATCATTGCTGATTAAATATATATGCAGTCGGCGCAGTTGTCGAATCGAATCGATTCTTCCTAGTTTTGAATATTTAAATTTATTTCAGTTCATATAAATCAGGAGACACACTCAGCCTTTAATGCACAGCATTCTTCTAGTTAAAAACAGTTTTGGATACTTTAAAAAGAATTATGCTTGGTATCAGTTTCTGACTTGTAATACTGGCACTGGCCACGATTACTGGCCAAACGGCCCAAAGAAACGACCAACGACAAGCCATCTGCTGCTAGGGAGGGATAGGAAGCCTCGCACAAAAAATAAATAACAACGGAAGAGGTAGAAAAACAGTGAGGCCCGACCCGACGGACACCGGGACCAGAGTAAGGAAAATGTGTCAACATACTTGTCGAAATGCCGTCTTCGGATAACCGGAATTCTGCCAACAAAAGAGAAAATTGGTCAAGCAATGTTACGGGTTACAGAATTATTGTGGAGTGCAGGATCCAAACATCCATCTTTAGCTGGCTGGGGGGTGGGGGGCGGAAGTACTACAGTAACATTCGTCGAATATAGCCATGCTTCACAGTATGTCAGTAGGGGAAAGGGAGACGCAGTGGCAACAGCAACTATGAGGGGGTTGGGGGTGTGGAGCAGGCGGGAGGTGCATGTCTTTTCAGAAAATTGAGTTGCCACAAAGTCGCCTACTAGCTCCGCCATACTATGAGCGTTACGGGGGAGCTCTCAAATCACTCGACGCCACCGCCACCACCGCAAAAAAACCAAGGAGGAAGAGGGAGGGAGGGAGAGAGGAAGGAAGGGAAAGAGGGAGAGAGGGAGAGAGGTGGGGAGGAGGGGAGGTAGGGAGAGGTGGAGGAAGGGATGGAGAGATGGAGAGAGGGATTAAGAGAGGGAGGGAGAGAGCGGGGAAGGGAGGGGAGATGGATTGAGAGAGGGAGGAAGAGAGCGGGAAGGGAGGGAGAGAGGGAGGAAGGGAGGGAGAGAGGGAGGAAGGGAGGGAGAGAGGGAGGAAGGGAGGGAGAGAGGGAGGGAGGGAGGGAGGGAGGGAGGGAGGGAGGGAGGGAGGGAGGGAGGGAGGGAGGGAGGGAGGGAGGGAGGGAGGGAGACAGGGGGGTTGGAGATAGCTCGTCCATAAAGTTCAATAAAACTGCCCTGAAAAGTGTGCAAAGTGGATGTGACGCGCTGCAAGGGGTGACGCCAGCAGCGCGCCCGCGTGTGCCATGTGGCCCCCCGGCAGGGTAGGCCGCGCCGCACGACACGGGTGCGTTACGGGCCTGCGCGCCCCCCAGGCGCTCCGCTCGGGAAGTCCATTCCGATCTGATCATCAAGAATAACGAAATGCAGCGAGTGACGCATGTAAAGATGAAATTTTGTTCTCGTTGCCGACGGAAAAGTTTGCTGTGAGCTTCCTACACGCACGTTTTTAAACGTGCTCAAACTGGCGCGGGCGAATATAATTCTTGGAATAACGCGCGCATGAAGACGCCTCCGCGCGCAGGAAGTCAAAGAGCGAGCATCTGACGATGACCCGCTCGGGCGACCTCTCATAACAACACACTGGTGCGCCGTCAACTTGGCTCGGAGGGGAGGGGCACGGTGGCAGAGCCAGGCGGTCTCACCCCACCACGCGCCCACCCCCTGCCCTGCCCCGCCCCACACACCGCAGCGCAGCCACTTAGGAATATTGAGTGTGTTGGGCCCGGGCCAGGCCTGGGGGAGGCCGGCGGGGCCTAGGGCGGCGGCCCCTGGGGCGGAGCGCGCGGGGCCCCATGGCGGCCTGGGTGTCAAAAGCAAAACGTTGCGGCGTTGTGATTCGAGGCGTCGTGTAGTCGATAACATTTTGCTTTAATTTTGAAGCCTTTCAAAGAACAACAATAAACTCAGACCAAAATCGCCAATATAACCTGGGCGGTGTTTGTAATAGCAATGCGTATGGGTTGTGGAACGTCACGACAAGATAGTTTAAGAGTGACAGAATCTTCGAAACACTCAGTTTTAAGACACCACCTCTTGATTCCAGCAGGTGAGAAGAGTTTGCCGGCACTTTTTGAGCCTAGCAGCGGTTGTGGGGGCCAGGCCGGGACTGGCGGCGACCTGGGGTAGCAGAGGGGAAGAAAGGGGTGGCAGGCATACAATTAGCCCTGGTGATTTACCGCCCACCCCTCACCTCCGGGCCCTCCGGACCTCTCTCCCCCCTCCACTCGCAAGCAGGTCGGACCTTTTGCCCCTCCGGTGCGCGTAGGCGGCGAGGTAAACTCCCCCGCGCCTGCTGGGTTACACCACACACACTCGGCCCCTAAACGGGCCGTCGGAGGAAGCAGCCAGCAGGATTTTACCCCGCCCTGCCCCGCAAGAGAGGGCCCCGCGGGGCCCCGGGCCGCCCACCTGAGCGGCAGTCGATAGGGGGAGGGGAGGCGCGGGTGAGGGGTGCGGCCCGATGATAGATTGGCTGGCTCACCGCGGGTGACGGGTGCGCACGAGTGTGGGGCGGGGCCCATAGCGCGACGCGGCCATCACGACCCAAATACGTTGGGGGGATTGATCTCGTTATTTTGTACCTGTTTTTTTTTTTTTTCGTTGTCCTTATACGGCCTTTTAAGCCTATAATTTTTTTTTTACGTTCAACCTCTGATAAAGAGAGCCAAAGTAAATGCGGCATGGATTTGCAAATATCGTACACACGTAACCGGGTGCATCATACGTGTCGCGACCCAATCAAAAGAATGATGACGCTGACGCAATAATCTCGTTCTTCTTTATTCAATGTGGGATGCGCGTGTGCATATGGTCATTCTCTTGCTTCAATCGGGCCCACAGGTGGAGAGCCTACGTGTAGCGCCTGCGAGAGTGGGCGCCGCAGCAGCAGGCGCCCGCAGGGGAGCAACATCGTCAGCCATCCTCGATTTATTGCGGTTTTCAACTCAAGATGTCAATCGGGAGGGCGGCTCCATTTACAACGCGCTCCCGGCCCGTCCGTCCGTCTCGCGTCCGTCCGTCGGCCGCCGCCGGTGCGTGATGGATCGCCCCCCATCAGCTGCGACGTCCCTGTCCCGCGCCCGGCAATCGCACGGAAAGGTTTGTAATTCGATTTACACTTTGATAAATACTGCGCTTCGCGCCCCGCGCACCGATTCCCGCCGGATCCCGCGCGCGCGCGCGCGCGTCAGTCGCCCAGCTGGTGGGGCGGCGGGTCACCCCGCAAAGCCCTCGAGGGTATCCGGACAGATCCTCAAGGGGGCGGCTGCGGCAGGTGCAGGCCGACCTCTGGATCCAGGTCGAGGTTTCAGGTACAGGACCAAGAACAGGTACATCCCCACACCCAAAAATCGAGGTTCTTGAACCGAGTAAATATCCTCGGAACAAGTCAATTTCTTAGAACTGTGCCAGGAAATTGAGTTGTTCCAAGGATATTTACTTGATTCAAGAAACTTGTGTTTTAGGTGCAGGTTCACGTCCCCGTCTATGTCTAGGATGTCCACGTCCATGTCTAGGGTGTCCAAGTCCATGTCTATGGTGTCAAAGTCCATGTCTATATATCGTGACCACGTCCATGTCTACACTGTAAATCCGGGGTGTCCAGCAGGTAGGCGACAAAGTCGCCTGACCCGCAAAACTAGGCGACATATGTCGCCTATCTGCTGGACATCTTCTGTTCTTCCGGGAAATTGCATTGTATGAGTCCATAGGCATTCCACCAACTGTGTCCATGCAATTACCCGGAAGAACAGAAGATGTCCAGCAGATAGGCGACATAAGTCGCCTAGTTTTGCGGGTCAGGCGACTTTGTCGCCTACCTGCTGGACACCCCGGATTTACAGTGTAGGGTGTCCACGTCCAGGGCCACGTCCACGTTGACGTTTCACCCACCTGTCGCGTTTGTCGCCCGCACTGCGCCGCCCAGCACCCCGGCGGCTCAGCACGGGCGCACGGCTTCTGAGTTAGGACGGGTTGCAATTAATGCCTCAACGTGATCATCGCCGCGCTAATGAAGCGAGGTAAGACCGGGGGCGGCGCAGGGGGTGGCAGCGGGAAAAATATTACTTATCCGGCACAGCAGCCCCCATCCCCTTCACCTTCCCCCGTCGCGTTGCGCACCGCAAGGGCACTTAGCAGAGATGGGGGTGCGCGCCTCCGGCTCTCGCTGCTGCTGCCCTGGGCTGGAGAGAGGAGGGGAGGGACGCCCACTTCTTGGGGGGCGAGCGGCGGGCTCGAGCGAGTGCGGCGCCATCAGAACAAAGAGAGCTTTAAGTAATAAAGTAACTTTTAAAAAGAACAACCCTATATAATTGCACAGGTGGGAGCGCTTAACTCGCTTAATGTCGCTCATTGTCGCTGTGTTAACTATGATGCAAAATGGCTATAATATTGACTCTTTACCAATAGGGACACCATAGTCAGACGCGAGGGACCATCAACACCGTCCATCGCTAGCATTACGGTTAAACCAACATCAATAAACAATGTCACCCCAAACCGTCAAATTGAGATACCGCATTTTAACATTTTAGCTGGAGGCTTGGTAATCTTAAAGTATGCAGAAGCCAAAGGTATCTCTGCCTCTTATGTAAACTTTGCTCCACGCTAGGTCAAAATACACGCAAAAGGGTATAGGGGAGGGGATCGGGTAGGGGGCAGGCACTTTTAAGCCCGTCGGCGGTAAGAGTCGTTTTAGTTAGGATGAAATAGGGGCTGGCGCGCCGAGCAGGCGACCTGGAGTAGGGGGAAGCAGGGGGGAGAAGGGGGCAAAGAGGGAGGCTGCACGCCACAGATTAGCTCAAGTTGGCTTGATCCCTTAAGGGGTGGAAGTGAGGGGGTTGGAGCACAAGAGGAAAACGGGGGGGGGGGCGGACGTCAGCTCTGACAATTAAATAGCAATGGACTGAAGGGGCGGGGAAGTGTTTCTTCTCTTGAAAGCACGACGCTCTGGAGACGGCGGCTCTGCTGCTGCCGCTACTGCTGCCGCTATGACCTCCCTGCCGCCACCGCCGCCGCTCGCTTTGCGCTGCATAATGTACGAACCAGGCGACGAGATAATAAAGGGGGAGCCGCCGCTGCCCTGTCCCGGACCCGTCCGTTTACAGCGATTAAGAATTAAGCGGCTGCTTGCTGCGAGGCGGAAACTGTGCCGCCCCCGAGCGGGGCTCGAGCGGCAGCAGGGCCTCATCTTGTTTCATTTGTCGCGCCAGCGCGTTATCTCGGTCACTCGGTGGGGGAGGGGGGGCGGGGGCAGGCTATTGAGCGGTGGCAAACTACCCTCTCTATAACCTCGCATCTCCAAACTCTCACTCAGTATGCCGCTCTCTCGATCAATCCATTTCATTTCGATTTGAGCACGAGCGGGGCGCGGTGTGATGGCAGCAGCTCCTCGTCCGTGAGTGTCAATAACGCCAACATGCTCACCCGAAAAACGCGGCAGGA